TCTCGCAATTATTACACATTGCTTTCTACTTGTGGGTACATGTACCCAGAGGTAGACGCATGCCTGTCTCTGACATGTGTGTCTAACTGGAATTGCTGGATCATGACACATGCAGGTTTCCCGTTTTATGCCGCTTTCCAAAGTGGTTGTGCTAACTTCCGTTCCCACTAGCCTTTGACGAGACACCTCATTGCTCCACTGTCTTAGCAGCTCTCTGGTTTGTCAGGTTTTGTAATTTTTTTCCCCAAGTAATTGTCTCTGCTTTATTAGAAAATGTGCATTTTTGCCTTCTTTTCTCTAGTAAAAAACTTTGCATTTTGATAAGATAGGGGGAAAAGGGAGCCTTGAAAAGATCGCAGAGGATAACCAGGACTCATTAGTCCTTCATATGTGCGAAGTAGGTTTCCCCGCCCCAATGAAAAAAAAAAAACCAAAACACCCCCAAAACCCCTGCTCTTAGAGGAAGCCACCCAAACTCGTTCACAGCACGGTATAAATGACTAATAAGGCTTGCTGGCAGCAAAACGGCACCAGGTGTTAGACCTTTCAGTTCAGCAAACTGGGTCCTTACAGTTCTGGCTAAGAGGGACTTCAGAACCAAGACTTCAAAGCCAAGACTCAAACTGTAAGAGAAAGTTTATTTAAGTCACGGAAGTAGAAGAAATGCGCTGTCGAAGAAACGGGCCCAGGAAACAAGTTACAGAGGCAAAAGGAGCGTCCTTGGAGCTTAGGAGGAAGAGAGGCAAGGAAAACCGAGGCCGGGGAACCCCGCGGGGGAGGGGGAGGCGGGAGAGGTGCGGGCGTGCTTCTCAAAGAGAGCCGCGCCGGGTTCCCCGCCCCGACTGCTTTTATCTTTGTAATTTTTGTCAGTCTGATGTGTATAGTAGTATTTCACTGTGGTTTTAATATTTGGTTTCCCTGACAAATCATGAGATTGAGCAATGTTTCATGCGCTTTGTGGCTATTTTCTTTTTTCTTTTGAAGTGCACGTTAAAATCTTATGCCCATTTTCTTTTGCATTTCATTGCTTTGTAGGAATTTTTTTTTTTTTTTTTTGCAAATTCTGGACACTGTGTTGGTTATATATGTTTCAAATTTTTTTATGGTGCATTTTGTGAATGAAAATTTATTTGAATGTATTCAAATTTATACATTTTTCTTTTTTTCCTCTTTTATTTATTAAATTTTTTAGAGAGGGAAAGGGAGGGAGAAAGAGAGGGAGAGAAACATCAATGTGTGGTTGCCTCTCGAGCGCCCCTCCACTGGAGGCCTGGCCTGCAACCCAGGCCTGTGCCCTAACAGGGAACCGAACTGGCGACCCTTTGGTTCGCAGGCCGGCGTTCAATCCTCTGAGCCACACCAGCCAGGGCTACTTAGGTCTTTTAAAAGTACTTTTTTAATAATGTTTTGGAATGTTTTCCATATGGTTTTTCTTTTGTACTTCTTTGCTCGATCTAGATATCTTTTAGATTTTATTGCTTTGCATATGCTAGCTTTAAAAAATTATGTAATTGCTGTTATTAGAATAATATTGATTTTAGTATATTGATCTTGTAGTTACAACCTTCTTGAAACTTTTGAGTACTTGTAATCATTTACATAAAGATTCTTTTGCACTTTTTTCTTCAGATAATCATATCCCATGTGAGTAAGGGTAGTGTTATTTCTTCTTTTAAGATCCTTATACCTTTAATATTTTTGCTTGCACTGGCGGGGCCTTTTGGTGCATGAGGAGGACCTCTGCCACTGTGTCGTACAGAAGCAGTGCTTGGCGTCATTTCCTTGATCCTAATGTAAAATGAATATTACTAATGTTTTACTATTAGGCAGGAAGTTTGCTGCAGGTTTTGGTAATTACCCTTTGTCAGCTTAAGGAGATTCATTGTATTCCAAGTTGGTGCATAGTTTTTATAATGATATGACTGCAGTATCATATTTTACACACATATATGATATTACATCTCATAGAGTAGATATTTATGTGCATCTTATAGACACGTGTGACGTATATTATATATCATATCGTATCATGTGCTAAAGAGAAAAAACTATACAACTACCTCAGAGTATTAAAAATATTATATATGACATTTATTTATACTATATATAACATATATGTGGGAGTGTATATATATATACACTTATACATGTATATATTTATATACTGTTTCTGATAATGAAGTCATTTATGGGCACTCTCTGCTTATCAAAGAGTTTATTCATATCATTTGCTGTGTGGATGGTTTTGAGGGGTACAGTTTTGTGGAAAGGAGTTCAGTCAGGAAGTGGCTGAAGCGGGGTAGGGGAGAGATGACTGTGGCTTGGGCTGGTGCGATGGTAATAGAAATGGATGGAAGTGAGTTTTGAGATATATTCTCAATTTGTTGATGGCTTGGAGGTGGGAGAGCCGTAGGGAGCACATGGAGAATAAAGGGAAATGAAAAACTCAAAGATGGGTTCCAGATTTCTGGTTTTGGATTTTAAAAAATTGTGGTAAAATGTAACATAACATTTGCCATTTCAATCACTTGCAAGTGTGCAGCTCAGTGGCAGTAATATGTTCACTGTGTCGCGCAACCGTCACCGCTGCCCGTCTCCGGAACTTTTTTATCATCTCAAACTGAAACTCAGTGTCTGTTAAACAGTAACTCCCCGCCCTCTACCCCGCCTAGGCCATGGCGACCACCATCCTATTTGCTGTCTCTGAATTGGGCTACTCTAAGTACCTCATGTAAGTAGAATTAACAATATTTGTTCTTTTGTGACTTTTTTTGGTTTTTAAATTTTCCTTTATTTATTTATTTTTTAGAGAGAAGGGAAGGGAGGAAGAAAGAGAGGGAGAGAAACATCGATATAAGAGAGAAATATCCATCGGTTGCCTCTCATATGGGCCCGGACTGGGGACCGAACTGACACCCAGGAATGTGCCACACCCGGAACTGAACTGGCCACCCTTTCGCTTTGCAGGGTGACACCCACCAATTGAACCACGCCAATCAGAGAAGAATTCCCTTCTTAAGGGTGAAAAATATTCCATTGTATGCCTCTACCGTTTTTCTTTATCTGTTCATGTTTAATGGACACTTGTGTTGCCTCCTCTTGGTTATTGTGAATAATACTGTTATGAACATGGGAGTGTAAATATCTCTTCAAGTCCCTGCTTTCAGTTCTTTTGGACATTTACCCAGAAGTAGAATTGCTGGGTCATATAATAATTTTGTTTAATTTTTTTGAGGAAATACCATACCATTTTCCACAGCAGCTGCATCATTTTGCATTCCCACCAGCAATGTGCAAGAGTTGCAATTCTCCACATCCTCACCAATACTTATTTTTTTGTTTTTTAATAATAGTCATCCTGACGGATGTAAAACAACATCTCGTTGTGGTTTTGATTTGCATTTCAATATTAGGGATGTTGAGCATCTTTTTATGTGCTTTTGGCCATTGTATATCTTCTTTGGAGAAGTGTCTATCTAGATCTTTTGCCCATTTTTTAATTTGGTTTTTTTAAAAATTTTATTTATATTTAGAGAGAGGGGAAGGGAGGGAGGAAGGGAGAGATAAAGAGAGAGAAACATTGACATGTGAGAGAAACATCGATCAGTTGCCTCTGGTATGCACCCTGACTGGGGGCCAAACCTGCAACCCAGGCATGTGCCCTGACCAGGAACCAAACGGATGACCCTTCGCTTTGCGGGATGAAACCCAATCCACTGAGCCACACCAGTTAGGACTTCAACACTCTCTTTTTTTTTTTTTTTTTACATGTTTCATTTGCTTTTCTGTGTGTATGTATATAGGACAGCGTTCTCCAAAACAGAGGAAAGATTATTTTCCTTAGAGACGTGCCTTGCAGGTGCTGTCCCATCACTTACTGAACCTCTGAGCTAGAATAGAAACTGGAGGTACAAAGATGTATAAACAGGGCCTTTGCATTCAGGAGTTTACAAGTCCATCCATCCTTGGTGCTGTTAGGAGAGTGGGAGTCGCTGCCCACTTGCAGGACTGCACCAGCTGCAGACAAGCAGAAGGGGGCAGAGGAGGCCCCAGCTGGGATCTCGCGGCTGTGGGCCAGATGGGGGATCCCAGGCCACTTTCGTGTCTTCTACTTGGAATGCAGCCCTCCTGCTGTTCCACTTTCTTGAAGCTCAGAGAAGATAAAAGGTCCTATTCTATTACTATAGCACAGGGATTTTCAACCTTTTTTCATCTCATGGTAAAACATAAAGTACTAAAATTCTGCAGCACACCAAAAATATGTAATAGTTTTGCCGATCTGACAAAAAATAGGCATAAGTTTGATTGATTTACTTCCCCCCCCCCAAGATAATCACCTCCCTTTTTGCTCCAAAGTGACTTTTTAAAAAAACATCAGGTGCCTATACTTGTATATAAGGATTTCTGATGCCAAGAATTAACCAATCGGACTTAACTTTATTATGCATTGTGACCAATAAAATGCAGTTCTATTTTATGACCTATATATTTATGGTTCAAGACAGGGCATTCACACTGGAGGGCTACAGCCGTATTGGCTATTGTTATTTTTTATTTGACAATCTAAGGGAAAAATAGGTCAGTGCCCCTGACTAAAAAGACAGGAGTTGCATGTTTCAAAAATTCTTGCAGCACACCAGTTGAAAATCGCTGCTTCAGCAGATAATACTCCACGTTGGGACTTCGGACTTGCAGCGCTGCTCGCCCCCGCTTACTCTTAAGGAGCCACGGCGCCCTCCAGCGGAAGAAGGGCCGCACCACCGAACCCCAAGGTGCCCAACAGCTAACAGTCATCCTTAAGGAACCCGTTGGCTCCAGCCCCGCCCCCTAGACGGGGTCCCGCCTCCGACGCGATCTCGTCCTGTGGCACCGATTGGTTGGCTTCTGTGCGTGAGACGTTGCGCCGCGGGGCGGGGCAGAGGAGCGTCGTAGTTTTGGCCTCAGCTGTGTGTCCTGGGTCGCCGCCCCCAGTGCCTTGCTGTGTCCGCCCCTCGCCTGTCTTTAGAGGATACAGGCGACAGCCTGGGCTTCGGGTGGCCGTGCAGCCGCCAAACATCTCGGCTGAGCTGCCGCTTCCAGCCGGCTCCTCTCGTCAGCCGGGTCCAGGTCGGGGAGGAAAATGGCGCCGGCGCCCCGAGGCGCCCGGGAGGAGCCGCTGCTGCAGCGTCGGTCCCGACCTCTTGCCCGGCTCCTTTTCTTCGCCCAGGCCGCCGCCGTCCTGCTGCCGGCCGCCCGGGCGGGCGCCTGCCCCGCGCCCTGCACGTGCCGCCCCCCGCTGCTGGACTGCAGTCGCAGGAGGCTGCCAGCGCCCAGCTGGAGGCTGCTGTCGAGCCCGCTGCCCCCCGACGCCGCCAGCCTGTGAGTGGAGTGGCCGGGCGGGGTCGGGGGCTCTGAGGCCGGGGGAGCTCCCTTCCAAAGGGGGCCGGCCTGGTCGGAGGGCGCGGTCGCGAGCCTGAGCTCTGAAGAGAAGGGCCCTTACGATGATGTGAACTTCGGTGGCGGGGAGTGTTGAGGTTCTGGAGGTTCTGGAGTTAGAATCCTTGCGGCCGGGGCGGCTGTGAATCCTGGGTTGGGGAGGAGCGAGGGCGGGGATATCGTTAGGGGTTCAGTCGTCCTGGGCCCCGCACTGACTCGAGGTGGCTGGGGCTCCTCGCCCACTGTGGGCTGCGTGTTCCCGTGCAGTGTGGACCTCGGCCGGAGTGGTCCCCAGGCACGGGATTACAACCGCGACCGCCGAGGGCACGCGGGCCGTCTTTTGTCCCACGTTTGCATTTTGGCTCGTGTCTTGCTGCAGTTTTGATGCGTAACAAGATTAATTAAAACTAAACGTGTGAGGAGAGCCAATACTACCCTGAACAAGTATCTTTATAAGTAGCATTCTTGGTCTAATGTAGGAAAGGAGCATTCTTTCGAAAATCACGTGATGCTTTAATTGTTTGCAGTGCATTTATTGTAGCAAAGAAACTAAAAATCAGCCCTCTTTGTTTATGTATGAGAAGCAAGTACAGTGATTGGCTGAATTCTCCTAGAGACTCCACTGCCGAGTGCTCTTTTTGACAGGCCTCTGTTAGTGGCACCCGGGAGCTCATTGGTCTGAGTCAGCCTGGTGGCACTAGGAGCAACAGTAGGTAATAAATGCTGCGATTATGGGGCTTCTTAACCACTGACATAGTTATTTCTCTGCCGCTAACTGAGCAATTCATTTTTTAATGGACACTGTTCTAATACAGTCGACTTCAAAAAAGAGCTGTCACAAAAAAGACTAGCTTGAGGTGCAGTTGAAATATGAGGGTCCGTTTGGATTTTCAGTGGAAAATAGTATACAAATACAAGGTTCCTCTCTGCTGCAGAGACTATTTCCACGTTTGCATACAGGTTAGGGTAGACAGGAAAGAAAGCTACCGCAAATTCCTTGAGAAAACTAAGGTAAGTTAAGTAGCAAAGTGCTGTGGGAGCATAGATCTGTAATGTAATAAGATGCTTTCTGTTGTTTTAAGATGTGACATCTGTAGCAAGTTCTGGCTCTGTTGATGCAAATAAAATTAAAAAATTCTTATCAGTGTGCAACATAGTCTGAATGAAACCTAGCCCGGCATCTTTGTAATGCAGCAAGTGCCTTTTTTCTAAGAAATTTTTGGAACAGCTACCTGATTAGGGCACAGTAAATCTGGTGCACATTTAAAAACAACACAGCTTCATTTAGCTGTAATTGAAATAAATGTGGCCTACTTTTTAAGATCCTCCATTGGTAGGTAAACAGTAACTAGACATAGTTTTACATCAGATACATGTGTTTTGTGTCTAGGTTTGATTTTTAATCAAGATGAATTTTCTGAAGCCAAATGACATTCAAAGTTTTTAAATGTTCTAGAATGAAATCGACATTTTCAATTTAAGTGAAATGCCTTGGAGAGCAATTCTGTTTTAGAAATATAATTGGGTGGAAGTCTTACATTAGCAGAACTGTTAGAATATTAAAAGATGGGATTGTGCTGTTTTAAACTGAGAAATATAAGTCTTCAGCAGTAAAACCACCTGGTGCACATGGGTTTCTTTATATAATTTTGAATTTCTAAAACACATGCTATGCTAAAATGTATTCGTGATTCAAACTCACGCTCAGACTTGGGGTCATCATCACAAAGATTGTAGACAAAATTCATTAATCCTGGTTTTCAAAATATATCTGCCCCCAGTTCCTGGCATAGAGCTCCTGAAACCCTGGTACTTTCCTAAGTGATAAGAGTACTAGGAGCATCTTTCTAATATTTAGCCTTTGACCTTGTTTCTTGACACGGGGCTCCTAAATCCCTTGGAATTTCCTGGGTAATAGAAGAAGTGTCTTTTGCTCTACTGAGGCAACTCTTGGTGGGCTCCTGGATGGCATCAGGATCGGGCTGGTCACCAGAAAGACCAATCCGTCATTAGAGGCTTGGGACTTTCAGCCCCACTCTTCTTCATCCTGGAAGGGGAGAGGGGCTGAAGATGGGGTTAATAATTGATTATGTCTTTGTGAGGAAGTCACAATAAAAATCCCCAAATCTCAGATTTAGAGAGCTGCTTGGTTGGTGAACATATCTGTGTGCCATGAGGGTGATGTACCCCAACTCCATAGGGACGGAAGCACCTTTGCTGGGCCCGTTTAGATCTCACCCTACATATCTCTTCACCTAGCTGTTTGTGTCCTTTATAGTGTCTTTTATTATATAATACACCAGTAAATGTAGTAAGTGTTTCTCTTGAGTTCTGTGAGCTGTTCTAGCAGGTGATTGAATCTAACGATGGGGTCATGGGAACCTCTGATTTATAGCCAAGTTGGACAGAAGTTGTGGGTAATATGGGGTCATACTACTTGTGAGTGTTGTCTGCAGTGGGGGTGCAGTCTTGTAGGGCTGAGCCCGTGTTCCAGGAAGTCCGCACTAACTCCAGTTAGTGTCCGAATTGATTTGAATCAAATTGCAGGACACCTGGCTGGTGTTGGAGAAGTGGTTGGTGTGGGGAAGGGAAAAAAACCAAAACAAAACACGTTGAGTGTCGGAAGTATTATGAGTAAAGGAAGAAACGTGACAAAAATTCTTTGCTTGATCAAAGTTTAGTCAGGCTCCTGAACCCTCTCCTAGGCCATCCGTGCACATCCTTGTAAAATGCAGTTTTAGCAAGAGCACTGCTGTATCAGGTTAGCAAGAAGCTGCTACCCTCGTTATCTGATTGGGTTCCTCCCCTGTACCATGTTCCAGGTAGTGCCTGATCACCCTGACCTGCTTTTAACAAGAATCCTGTTAGGTCTGTTTAGTCAGAACCCTCTTACCCCTGATGTTTTCTCTTAGTATTTTTCATCCATTGACCCCACCCTGCTCCTTAGCCTTAAATTCCCATATACACAGGCAGTATTTGGAGTTGAGCCCAATTTTTTACCTACATTAAAAAATTTTGTTGCTGTGGTCCGTATGCCTAGCTCCCGCAAAGTCTTCCTTACTTTAACAAGTATCATTGAATATTTTTTTCCTTTTAACAGTTATGGTGCCACAACTCCAATAGGATCAGATTCATCATTGGACCCCCAGACCTCTCACCCAGGACCCTAAGTGCATATTTTTGAAGCCTTTATCTGCCTCCTGACTGATTGATCGGGGATCCATTGGTGAGTCTGACTCCTAAACCACTGCTCCGGACGAATGTCCGTGGAAGCTGGTAAGGACAGATTTTGACTCCTAAGAGTCTGAGTATACACCAAAAGATGGAATAGAGTCCCAGATAAACGCAAGCCGGGTTAGAGTCCCAGGTATTCCTGATGGTAAGAAGGTCCTTCCAAGTCCCAGGCAGGCAGCTGTTGGTTAGAAGCTGGGTTAGAGTCCCAGGCTTCTTTGTTTGAAAGGTACCTATTGGGCTGGAAGTCTCTTCTTCCTGACCGCCTTTTTGATTATTTCTGGACTCCTTGCACTGGCAGTCTTTCTTCCTGTCTCTCTCTGTGACACCTCTTAGTTTTCTCTGTTTGATCCTGGAACTTCTCAGTTGGAATGCCCTTGTCAAACCCCTGCTGACTATCCTCTCCACCAATTCTGTAAACTTCCGTTTTTGTGGCATGCTTTTGCTGAGAGTAATGTGCAACTTCATTGGCCTCTTTGGGAAACTTGGCACCTCAAACTGGCACCTCTAAGACATCTCCTTTTCCATTCCTTCTGCTGTTCCTTTCTCCTCTTACCACCTTTAGTCTTCCCTCCAGTTCCCTTGCATCCTTTGATAGGTCCCCCTCCAGGCCCCTTCCTCCTTCATCCCTCTGACCTTTTTCCTGCCCATCTCTGTAGTCACTTGAACTTTGGACTCCCTGCCCTCCACTGGGACTGTCGGGGGACTTAGGGACCTTCAGAAGCAACTGCTTGAGGCTGAAAGAGAAAAAGGCTATTTGGAAATAGACCAAATGTTTTGGTTAGTTGGATGGGCTTTGGAAACATCCAGACAGCTGCCATATGTCTCCTTGGTCGCTCACCTAAAATTTGGTCCACAGCCTCCAGAAGATTACGTGTCATGGCAAGGGAAGGGGTTGAAGGTGGTCTGTACAAAACTGGTAAACAGATAACCTTCACTTGTCCCTTTTGTTAGAAACACAGTTTGCATAAAAATAAAAGTCAAGAAAAGACAAGAGCTAATGATTTATGAATCAGTGAGTTTGTACTAACTGATGGGTAAAATTTTAGAATGTAAACCATAAGATTTCTATTCGTGCACTTACATTACAGATGTGTGATATTTTTCTATCTCTGGATGGTATTACCCAATTAATTTATAAAATGCCTTGAAGGAGTTCTCTTCAAATTGGCTTAGAGATAAATGAGCACTTACCTAAACTAAGTATTCTTGAAGCTCTCAGAAACAGAGAAACTAACCAATGTTCTAACTTTACATGATCTGGGATAATTTTTCATGAATAAAACTAATTCGAAAATTGGTAAAATAAGAACAGGTACGTATTGAGAATTATCAGCATTAAGTATAATGCAGACATACAATTTTTTCCTGCCTAGGTTTACTAGCCAAACAAGCTTGTTAGCTGTACTCAGTGTTTAAGGTTATAAAACTATAAGTCCAAACTAAGAATAAAATATACAATAAAAATTAATTACTGTATGTTAAAAACAGCAGTACAAAAAGAAAAAAAGGGAAAGACCATGTATATTTAACCTTTTTATGTATTTGCTTTTTTGATGCCTGTTTAACATGCACATGTTATAAAAATAGGTAATATGAAAATAACTTGAGATGATGGCTAGCTTTGGTGTTATGTCTGCATAAAAAAAATTTAAGTCATTTTTAAGTAAAATAAACCACTGAAACATTCATTACTGAAGTATAACTTTATA